ATCGCCCGGAAAACTAGAGGTATTTGAATTTTGCGGCCCACAGAGGGCCACGTGTCCTGCTCGACACACAACGATTACGACTCTTGCAGCTTATTCAATAAGTTCGACTGAAAATGAAATTATCCGCTCATTAAGCTCACCTGTGAGGATGACCTCAATAAGCAAAGGGACTAACTGTATGAGTCAAAAATTATCTCTAATATGATTAATCATGTTAGTAAGGAGGCATTCACAGGCTGCCATGTGTCACCAATGCGACTCCAATAAAAGCCTACCCAAGGTCGAAGTGGTTCTAGAAATAATGAAGGTTGCAGTCGAAGAGTCAACAAGGATCAAAGGAGTCAACAAAGATCAAGTTGAGGTCAAACATCCTTGAGAGAGTTATAAACGGCTAGTTCCAAGATAGGATTAAAGAGAATATTCTCTGTACCTGTACTATTAGCGTTTCTAGGAACATGTTCCCTATAAATAGAAAGAGACATAATGATAGTGGGGAGGAGATATCCATTTGTAAAAAACACTGTGAATACAAAAAACAACCTTTTATGAAGATTCTTATCTATTCTTTCCGTCAGATCTAAGAACAACCTCAACGTTTAAAGGCTCATCAATCATTCATGATTGTTAGAAAGAATATTCATAGATCTCACTCCTTTTTGGGTGATTCACACGTTTTTATTTACTTAAATATCATTTATTACCATTTATTGCTATTTAATGCTATCTTCTATCTTTTTGGGTCATTGAACTCTGTTGTTATTGCTCACATTCATTACCGATCGGTCAAATACATATTTTATTTGTCATAAAATCGATAACTTAGTCTTGAGGATATTATTATTAGCTAAGATTGACCCTTCTTTATTAAAATCTAATTGGTTGAACCAAAATCTATATTTTTTATCAAACAGTACGTCGTCGTCGAGTCCAAAAGCGTGCAAATTATGTGAAATTGTTATACCTTATAAAAAATTTAATTTTTCTCTTTTATTACGAGGTGAAATTCGCTTTAAGATGTCATGGTGTATCTCTTCACCTAGAAGCTTGCCAAGCATTTTCTTTGACATACCCTCGTTAGGAATTTAGAGTATTAGCAAATTTTAACTTGTGATTAATAACAAGTTAGTTTATAATTAACAGGGTACGATTTAATGCTTATCATAGAATTTACATCTTATTATCGGCCTTCTTGTGTGAATATCTTTATGATGCGAATACATAAAATATAAAATCTTCTTGAATCACTTTTAAACCTCACTTTACTAAGAAGCTTATTAATTATAAGTTTAATTTCTATCTGTACTAGTGAACCAACGCACAACCTACCCCCATGAAAAATGATTATATATATATTGGGGTTTGGAATTCGAGCTGCAATTAAGATCATAATCTGTTTGCAGGATGCCCGACAAAAGAACCATAAGTTTTGAATAAAATACTCGTACGTTGTAATAATCTAAATAAGAAGTAAACACAATATTGCCTTAACGACCAACACAAAAGTCACAATTCCTTAATCCAGGACATCTTACTTACTTGATATTTGTGTACATAGAGCCATGTTCATTGTATTCAACACTGAGATCTTTAAAGACAAAACGAATCATATCAAAAGCTTAACGTATGAGAAGATCAAGATCTCATTATTTGTTGTGATGGATCTTGCGAGCCATGCATGTTTCGTGCCCAGTGGACGATCTAGAATTTAAATTTTGAAATACATATATATAAAGTTGAAGCTCGAAGCACGGAGTTTTGCCAAACGTGTGAAATTATTATTAGATTGTCATCTTTATACAGTGGCGGAGCCACATTACACTAAGGGGTGTTGACAACCCTTCACCGAGAAGTTATATTGTGNTGGCCTGGATGTGCGCACCTCGAGAAGCAAATCGGAGACCCGTCATGATCTGCCTCGAGGGCAGTACAATTTCGATGACACTTAAGAAAGAGCGGGAATTTCTCAAGGACACGTGGATCAGGGCATAAATTATGGGATAAGATTTGTACGAAATAGTACAAGTCCGTACTAGGTTGTTATACATCTGCAATAGAATTCTTTACCATAATTGGAAATGTACCATATTAGGGTTTTTCCCTCCTATATAAAGAGGGCCCAATCATTTGTAAGAAAAATGTTATTCACTATAATAGAATATTCTACTCTGCTTTCCCGTTTACTGTGCTCAACAATTGTTCTTCAGCTTTATCATTTTTACTTTATTGTTCATACTTTATTGGTTCTTAGCTCGCCTCGAGGCCCCTGAGACAATCGAGCTCGAGGCCCCTATTGTTCTAATAATACTGGTTTGGTTCATCAATTCTTCTTACTTAAGCTTAGTATTACTTGTACATTCACTAGTATTGGAATAAATCACATATCTTTAAAACTACAATTTATCTTTAATTGTTACTCACATTTTTCAAGGTAAACAATATATATTATGTTGAATCATCTTAACTTCTTTATATTTTAACAACCCCTCTAATTTCTCTATTTGGGGGCAATTATGTACTGTTTTAATCTCCTCTTCCCATTTCATAAATATGGCACCATTTATTTGATAGTCAAATAATTTTTTGACTACAATTTTTCAAGCATTTTTAGATGGTTGTAATCAGAAGTGATTTAGGGTGTTACTTACCGAGGACATGATAAGAGGTGTGGAGGTCGAGAATTAGGTTAGAGGGCTAGTAGATAGTCGAGCATTTTTATTTTTCATACCAACAATATTAGTGTTAGTCTTGTATTATATTATTCTTACATTTCTATTACTACATATATAGTTTATTTCGTTTCGTTCTTTATTATCTTGTTGTTATTATTATTGTTTGTTACTAATGCTTTCTTTTCATCTCTCTTTGAGCCGACGGTCTTGTTTAACCAGAAAATAGGAATTTCAGTCAAAGCTTAATTTTAGAAGAACTCGGGTTACTGATAATTAAATATTGAACAAATAAGGAGAATTGACTTAAACGATATCTGAGTAAGTAAAAGAAAGCAAAGTAAATCAGTGTATTCCAATAATATTCTGTGTCCTTTACAAATGTTATTTCTCTCTTTTTATAGCTATTTCTAAGTAATACATTTCTTTCCTCTCATAACAAAGCCATTATGAGTAATTAATGGCATTAATGTAACGTTATAATTGGCAATCATAACTGTTTCGTGAAGATTCTATAACGTTTTCTCTCATTGATTCTCATTAATTACAGATAATACGTATTTGTACTTTTTGCTATATAGGTTCACTCCTCCGATGTCTCTTCGAATTACCAAGAGGTCCGAGTAACAGTTCCTTCCTGTTTCTTGAATCTTTGCCTGTACCTGTTAAAGCTCGTGTCTTTTCGAATATTCTTTGCCAGTTGTCTTTCATTTATTGATCCATGTGTCTTGGTGTGTCAGCATCTAATTAATATCAAATGTTAACTTGATTTTTCCCAATACAGGTCTATCGAAAACAGTCTCTCTACTTTTTCAAGATTGAGTTAAGGTTTAAGTAAATACTACCCTTCCTTACTCCACTTATAGGATTATATTGAATTTTTTGTTGTAGAAGTAATTTATAGTATTTCTTAAGAGTATAAAAATATCAGCGCCTAAATTTATATATACTGGCAGTTACATTGACATTGGTATTCTAAACTCATTCTTTCCTTATGGTACAAAGTTATATTTCATTTTTTGGATACAATAATAAATACAGTAGCACCCATCTAATAAAGTAATATTTTATATCTAATCACCTCTTAGTTTTTATGGTAAAATGATCAGAAATTAACATATTTCTATCTTCTAAAAGTTGAAATTCATGGATCAAAACCACAAAAACCTAAATCAACTATCGATAAGTTATATTCTCTTATTAAGAACAAAAAGAAAATTAATAGGAAAACTTCTCGCGTGGAACCTAGTAATAAAACTAACTCAAACGAAAACTATTTATACTTTAACAAAATTAATTGTTTCTGTATCATAGTTTTATTTTGAAGTAACTCCAAATGTAAATTTTTTTACGTGACTTAAGAAAGTTAAAAGCCCGAGTGACTTTCACTGCGGGAAGGTTAAAAATGACAATCTGTACAAGATAGAAAGCGAAAATCTAGTGAAACTGGCCGACCATATATATATATA